ACGATAAAAGAATGATTTATTAAATTATAGTACATCCTCAAAGTGCATCATTAGGTAACGTTTATAGTTATATTTATGATGTGCTACATAATACTTAGGTCAGGGAGCTCAATGAGCCAGGTGTAAATCACACATATCGAGTGATCTCAGCGAGATGAAAAGTTACACAGGGATTAAAAGATTAGAAGGTGTGGTGGTATACTGCCATTATTTCTGGGATTGTAATCGTTCTTTATTTTTATAATAAGAAGTTAATGTTTTATAATAAAGCATCATTTAAGAGTATGGAATAAGTCATTCAAAGGGGAAAAGGAAATCATTATTTGCTGCTTTGGGGATTTAAGCTGGTTTCATTCAGCCTCAAGAGAAATGTAGAAACTGGTCATTCTCAAATTCATGTTGCCAGTGTCCAGACCAGATAGATTCTAGATGAAGAGATCTGCTGTGTCCTTAACTGGCGCTTCTTGGAACAGACAGACTGGACACTTGCCAGCTCGCTCATTCCTTTGGACTCTAAACCATCCTTAAGCAGCATGGCTTTTTTTTTTTTTTTTTCACTTAAATCACATGAGCTTAATTTAATGTTTTGATTTCAAAGGAAGAGTTAAAAATATATACACAAAATGTTAATCCTATTTGAAATTAGTGATGTTGCCTAAAGTCCCACTTGAGAAGTTATAAAAAGCAGCCTCACAAAATCATGGCCAAGTAGATCTTTCTTGGAAACTCATTGCCATGGATGGATTGACCCCGTTTTGCTGGCCTGGTGGAGGCAGAATTGTAATTGTTTTAATGTCGAAAGTCTTTAGACTCACAATTCACGGAGCTCCTGACTTAAGCAGTTAATTATTTTTGGTTATCACCAAGTTGCATGTGATTTTTTTTACCCTTTAAATGTTGACATCCATCAACTGTGGTTTTACTTTTATATGGACCTTTTTTTCATTTACACTGTAGTACAGAAAACATTATTCTGAAAACAGCAAAGTCCAGGGATGAACTTTGATTCTGAATTGATACCCAAATCTTTTTTTAATTTTTGTTTTGATTTTGTAATTAAACAGACATTTCTGTTAGGGGTGTTTTCATTGGTGGTGTGTTGTTTTAGTTCTTGAGTTTGGTTTTGCAATCTCTTTCCTCATGTTTGTAAGGAATTGAATGTGATATGTCTCAACCTTTGTGGAACTGTGTGCTCTGGGCTTATGTCCAGCTGTTTCCAGAAGTGAAGCAGAAAAGGGGTAAGAGGTGGTCGGGTGGTCAGTTTTTTCAGTTAAACGTTTCTGAGCTCTTTGCTTGGTTTGAATAGTATTAATTCACCTCACACCATCTTTAGGAATTAAGGATCTAACACACTACTGTAATGTTTTACAAAGTTATCTTAGGAATTTTTTTTTTTACTCCCAACAAGAATATCATAACAATTTTCGACTAGATTTCATGAGTGTGAAAACTGTCTCCTTTGTAAGAACTGTCAGTGACTTTCTAGAGTACCGTTAGCTGTCATGCTCAGAAACTTCGAAGCCATCCACATCTGAATTCAGATGCTGACACTGACAAGTGTCCTCCGCAGTGAGTGAGACCCCACAATCGGAGGCCTCACTGGTTTGAGGACATTGGGAGTGGTGCAGAAATCTGAGTTCTAGGTCTGTTTATTCAGGTCACTAACTAGAACTAAGTTAATTGAGCCAAGGTGAGCACAATCGACATTTTGTTTTCATGAGTCAACAGGGTTTTTACTGGAGTTAATAGATCATAAAATGGCCTAAGCATTTCTGACTCTCCTTGTCCTGTAAATGTGTTGTTCATATCAAATTGACGTTCCCAGCATTCTCTGGGTACACGTTCCCTTCCGCCCATGTCCCTGCTTCTGCTGTGAGAAGCCGAACCCCCTGGAGCGCAGGCGAGAGGGCAGGTGGCGCCTGGGAGCGAGCTCAGGGCGAGGGCGGGCGTGGCGGGGCGCGGAGGCAGGGCTGCGGGTCTCAGGGGGTGATGTTCCTTCCAAGGGGCTTTTCCAGAAACGTCAGACCCGTTAACAGACCTGCTGTGCACCAACCAGTGTTTGTTCAAGAAACAGGTTAGCATCGAAGAGAGATTGGTAAGCACCTTTAATGCAGTTACTAAGGTGGTGACCAGGCGGCGGGGCTGGCAGTCACTTGATCTGGTCCTGACGGATGTTTGTCACAGAGAAGAGCCAGGAAAGGTCCTGCTCTGAAAGGGGGGGGGGCTGGGGGGGGTAGGAAGGCCCGGGGAAAGGGGCTGGGGCGTGGGCACGCGGGGTGTGTAATGCTGGAGGCTTGGCCTAGCGCAGTGGTTCTCAACCTTCCTGATGCCGCGACCCTGTAACACAGCTCCTCATGGTGTGGGGACCCCCAACCATACAGTTATTTTTGTTGCTACTTCATAACTAATTTTGCTACTGTTATGTCTTAGGCGACCCCTGTGGAAGGGTTGTTTGACCCCCAAAGGGGTCACGACCCACAGGTTGAACCGCTGGCCTAGAGGCTAGGAGAGGCTTAAGGAAGGCTGAAGACTCACTGAAGGACTTTTATAAAGCAAGAGATTTGTACCTTATTTAGAAAATGAGAAGCCATTGGCAGAGTCAAGATGGATCATGGTCTATATTTCAGGAAACTGCTTCTGGCACATTACAAAAGATAGGTTGGAGAGATGGACAGAAGCCAGTGAGGAGCTATCACTGCTAAGTGGTGGGACAGGAGGTCATTAGATAAGGACAGACAGGGGTGAGGACAAGGTCTAGGAAAGAAGGCCAAGCATGAGGGTTTGCCCGCCGAGTGGGTGGGGCCCGAGGTGTCCCCTTCGCAGCCGCCCAGGTACACTGGGAATGGAGACAGGTGGGACTCGGACGATGGAGCCCTTGGTGTGCTGGTGAGGAGCTGAGACCTTGAGGGATGGCTGCGCCAGCCGAGGGTCTGCGGATCTGGGGTCAGCAGTGCTGTCCTGCCTTGTTCCACTCTGCAGGGTCTCTCCTGTCTCTGTTGCTTCGCTTTTCTCTCACACACACACCCTCCCAGACATTCATTCTCTGTGTCAGGAATCAGCAGACGTTTTCTGGAAAGAGTCAGTATTTCAGGCGTTGCTGGCCACATACCGTCTTTGCTCTCGTGTGTTTTGCACCCTTAGAAAGGTAGACACAATTCTTCGCTTCAGGGCCAGACAAGCAGGTGTTGAGCTGCGCTTGGCCTCCAGGCTCTAGTTGGTGGACCCCTGAGCCGAGGCCGTCTCGGATTAATTCCATCACAGCCACCAACACTGTCCTTGGGGGATATTCACCTCAAGAGGAAAAGAGGGGGCAATCAGCATAGTAACGGGATGTGTTTTTGTAGAGGAAATACTAAGTACCTCCAGTTCTTTTCTTCCCAAAAAGTGCCTACCCATCTGCATCAGGTTGACTCCCCCTCCCCCTTCAGTGTACATGGACTCATTTCTCTTGGAAGGCATTTCTGAGCCCAGTCTGAATGTGTGTCCCTCTGTGAGTGCTCTCAGGGCACCGTGGACTTCCCGAGTTGTGACAGTGGTAGTCGCACGCCTGTGATTGCCCGCTGAGTCCCGGGTCTGTCCCCAGGCTCAGGCCCAGGGGCCACTGCACACGCTGTGTTTGCACCATGAGTTCCCTGAGCACCGTGGGCACCGGTGGGCTCTGGATCGTTAATGAGGGAAGTGAAGGGCAGGTGAGGGGTACAGTGGTTCACGTAGAGGCCCCAGGACTGTCAGACCTGCGCTCAGCTGTGATTCACATGCATCTGACCTTGGACGAATGACCTAAACGTTCTGGGCCTCGGCGTCCTCCTGCAGGTTGGGGTGCTCGTCGTGCCCATGTCAGGGTGGTGTGGTGACTGAGTTCCTGTGTGTAAAGCACTTAGCGCCTCGGACAGAACCTCGCTCTTTCTCTCCTGCCATCCGTGCTGCTTGTTACTCCTCCGACCACGTCACAGCCACCCAGCCACTGTTTCTGCCACTGCAGCTGCAGGAGGGCCGTGCGGCGGAGGGACTGCGCATCACCGAGTCAGACTGCCTGGCTTTCAGTCCAGTGCCACCCTGTCAGCTGTGCGCTCCCGAGCAGCTTCTTACCCTCGCTGTCAGTTTCCTCTTTTGAAAATTGTGGATATTAGTTGCACCTAACTCAAAGGGTCATTATGGAGACTGAATGAGAACATGAATGTAAAGCATGAAGAGTAGTGGCCGGTTCCCAGTAGTGTAAGCATTAACCAGGAATGAAGTCAGACTCGGGTCTTAGCTGTGACTGTGACCACCCTTCCCCGTGTTAGCTCAGGCTGGGACACACGGTTTACGAGCACCTTCTGTGCACCAACCTGTGAAGTTGCGACTACGATTTATTCTGCCTTGACTCAGAACAATGCAGTTTGATTATAAAAGTCCTGGGAAAGCTTCTTGATGCCCTACGTTGCCTGTGTCATTTCCGGTGGGCTGAACGCTTTGAGTCAGCCTCAGTTTATTGCCTGGGCTTCACAGACGTGCTCAGGTGGCCCCGTCGTCCTCCGGGACCTCCGTTCGGGAGGCGGGAGCCCCGGATTCCACAGAGGCCTGTCCCTCCTGGCCTCGCTCCTCCATCTCCCAACAGAAACATGAAGATGCTCCGCCCAGAGAGGTGTCATGACGGGGTTGTGGACTAGAGGAGAGGAGAGAAACAAGGGTTCTTTAAATACCTCAGCTGCTGTTGTCTTCGTAAATGCCTTGAGTCTGTTCCTAGGGGTCCCACATTATGATTAAATTAGTTTTAACTTAAACCCACTCAATATTTTTCTACCTACCATGTTTAAGAGGATTGTAGGAATCACTTTAATCAAACAGTAATTCTTCGTACTTTTGTTAATTGCCTCTCCTTTCCTGTGTGAATGAATGTATGATACCCCCCAGCAGGCCTGCAGATAACATTACCATTTTGTTTATTCATCACCAATATATCTGACAAATAACATTGTAAGCCTGAAAAGTGTACATTTAGTTTTTCTCTCTGACAGGGTAGACAGTTTACAGAAGAATCAAGACCTGGAATTTGAAAGAAATCGAGAACGATTTGAGTTTTTAAAGGTATGGGCAGAGTTAGCTCCATTGGGCGATTCTTCGTGTCTGTGGGTGCGAAGGTGCCAAGTTGAGGCGTGTGTGTCCAGCATTCACCGTTTCTCTGCTTTTCCATCCTAGTGGGGTTCCCAGGCTTTTCGCAACATGCGAATTATCCCCCCTGGCTCAGGAATCATCCACCAGGTGAACCTGGAGTATTTGGCAAGAGTGGTATTTGATCAGGATGGATATTATTACCCAGACAGCCTCGTGGGCACGGACTCGCACACCACCATGATTGACGGTTTGGGCGTTCTCGGCTGGGGTGAGTGCCCCCGTAGACGCTGTCCTGCGGCATGTCCGTAATTGATGTTGGTACCATTACATCCCAGTAGCATGAGTTTGCATGACTACAGGAATCGGAGAGGTATTTTTGTCTGTTTTTACTGCTGTATTTCCAGTGCTCAGAAAAATGCCTCTTGCCTTTGGAAGAAAGAACTGGACCAGCGATTAGAGACATTTAGAATAAATGCAAATCACCTGGGGTGTCTGTTACACATGGAGATTCCTGAACCCCAGTCCACTTGGGTGGAATCAAGGGGATTTTGATGAGGTGTTTGGGGACCACACTTAGAGAAAAACTCATTAAAAATTCTATGGAGGGAAATAGAGAACAGATCATTGCTTCTTTTAGAAACATGGCTCTGTACTAGTACGGCATTGTAACTGGGTTTGTTACCTGTTGATGACACTGAATTATGCCGCGGGTGTGGTGAGGAATAATGACAGCACTGTTTTCTCTGCCGATCCTCACAGGTGTGGGGGGCATCGAGGCGGAAGCCGTCATGCTGGGTCAGCCCATCAGCATGGTGCTTCCCCAGGTGATTGGCTACAGGCTGATCGGAAACCCCCACCCTCTGGTAACGTCCACTGACATCGTGCTGACCATCACCAAGGTAACATATGCTTCCTCTTCCGTGGTCTTGGAGATGGTCACAGTGACAAGCGGGAAATGTGTGACAGATGTGGAGCCCTCTTGGTTCCATGAGCCCTGGAATGTTAGCAAACCGTATGTGGATGACATTAAAATGAGACGGGAGAAAGGGGAATTCTGTGGTTCAGTCTTAGGTGATTATGTTCATTTCACTCTTCTGTGCCCGCATAGATCTTTTTCTTTTAACATTTGTTTGAAATTGTGTAATAACTCAAATACACAGAAGTGAAGAATTCATATGCCTACCACGTAGACAGCAGATGAAAACACTTTGCCAAATTTGCTTTGGAGCTCGCGCTCTCTATTTTTTAAGAAATAAAATGTAATATTTATGGTGTAAGCCATCTTTGTTCCTAGAAATAACCAGTATCCTGAGCTCCTAAGAAACATTCCCAGGCATTTGAGTACTTTTACTTCATTGTTCCTATGGTTCTTCTTTATGTGTAAATAACAGACTTTTTCTGTGAATAATGTTGGACTTTTTTAATTCCCTTTTCTGTACTGTAAGTTACATTACTATAATGTATGCTTCTGCAAACTGGAAAATATGTTTTTCCCCTTTTTCTTTAGCTCTTTTAGGGAACAGTCTTTTTTATGTGATTTGCTTACTTGGCAAAAAGAAGGCAGTTTTTATTTTGAAAGATTATTGGAAAAGTAGTTTTTTTATTATCACAGACATAATTTTTTCCAGTCATAGAGCTTGGAGCCTTGGGGTATTTGGGATGGACAGTCTACTGGTAAAGACCCAGAAAAGTCTCTCTTTGATTTATTTAATCTCTATAGAATTTGCAGTTGGATTTATTTGAATACACTAGCTTGTCGTAGATGTCTGCCTTGTTCTTCATTTGTGGAACAATATAAAGGTTGTACACAAAATTTCACGTTACCAAAAGAGCTTGTCCCTGTGGCCACCCACCCACCGTCCATGGAAATGGTTTCCTGTGGGGAGTCCGTCACGAGCCCCAGCCTTGGCCCGCGGCTCGCTCGGCAGAGACACAGGAGTCCGACTGTCTGGATCTTTGGTTACATTAGCTTGTACATGTGTTTAGGAAATTTGTGTATTATACCCTTGAAAACAGCCATTGACTTACTCAACAAGTACACATCATCATTTATTTGAGTTCAAAGAATTTCATTTTTAGCACTTCGAGGCATTTCCAATGATCTCATCAGAGAGAAAGAGTGTTTCTCATTTTTAAAAACTATTCTTAACATTGTTATCTGTGTTTATGGCATTACCTTTTTTGGGAAGAACTGTTTTGACATAATTTTAGATGTACAGCGGAGTTCACGTAAAGAGGATACAGAACGTTCCCGTCACCATTCTCCCGGCTCCCCAATGTTATCTTACGTGAATGTAGTACATTTATGTTAACGAAGATGCTGACGTTGTTATGAATAGCTCGATTAAGTCAACTAGAAACTTGGCCAGTTTTTTTAGTAATGTGCCTTTTCTGTTTCAGTATCCAGTCCAGGATACCATGTTATATTTAGATGGTGTTATTTTTTAAGTTTTATCTTTAAAGTAATCAAAAACTGTGTTGTGCTGCCTTACTACTTCTGTGTGCTCACGAGGTCAGTGTGTAAGAGTAGCGAGGTGGTGATAAGGGGGTAGTTCAGCATCTCAGATGTGGTCTGTCAACTCGGAAACCCTTCTGTTCTGCCGCTCAGCACCTCCGCCAGGTCGGGGTCGTGGGCAAGTTTGTCGAGTTCTTCGGGCCGGGAGTCGCCCAGTTGTCCATTGCTGACCGAGCCACGATCGCCAACATGTGTCCAGAGTATGGAGCGACTGCTGCCTTTTTCCCGGTGGATGAAGTTAGCATCAAGTACCTGGCGCAGACGGGTAAGCGAGATGCCAGGGGAGGCAGGGCCCTTCGCAGTGGCGTGGAGCCTGAGGCTGGGAGCACCGCCCTCTGCCTCTGGCCCTCGGGTGCACCGGGCCAGGCCCCATGTCTTCCTCCTCTGTGGAGTCGGAGTGATTGTGGGACTTCGGGAGACACGAGGTAGACCTGGTCCGGCCAGTGGGAAGAGCCCAGGTGCTCTGGAAGCCTGCCTGGTTGCGCTGCTTCCTGCTGCGGTTTATTTGACGTGCAACAAGCGATCTTAGCGATGCCGATGACTGCCGAGTGCCAGGCTTTTGGGAGGCATTTGCCCTCATCCTCTTTACAGATCGATTAGGTAGATTGATTGATTGATTTACGAATAGGAGAGAAAACTAAGGATTAGAGAGGTGGGGTAAATAGCCAAGCTAATGACTACTGGAGCTAGTCCCCAAACTTGGGGCCGCCTGGCTGCTCCCAGGCACGGCCCTCGGTGACATCCCTCTCACGGCGTCCAACAGGGAGAGGGAGGACTGCGTCCGAGGCCATTTCAGAACGTCAGTGGTTCTGTAACTGTTTATTTGTTTAGAAATTTGACTTTGCCCTTGGCTGGTTTGGCTCAGCAGTTAGAGTGTCGACCTGCAGACCGAAAGGTCTTAGTTTCGATTCCTGGTCAACGGCACGTACCTGGGGTGCAGGTTCGACCAGGACTAGGGTTATGCGAGAGGCAGCCAGTCGGTGTATGTCTCTCACACGTCAACGTTTCTCTCTCTTTCCCTCACCCTCCCTTCCAGTCTATTTAACACTCAATGGCAAAATATCTTTGGGTGAAGATTAACCAAAAAGTAAAAGAAATTTGACTTTAGCTTTGAGAAGGTTTTTTGTTTTTTTGTTTTTTAATTTCTCCAGTTTATTTTAAAAATATTAAATATTAAGTATTCATTTAGTCATTTCTTATTCATATCTGAGTTAAGTCCCAGACATACAGTAGTGAACTAGATAAATTCTCTGCCTTCGTGGAGGTTACATTCCAATGAGGGAGACACACAGTGACCAAGTTAACAAATAACTATGTAACTATTTATGTGGCGTTATATTTATAAGATAATGAAGAAGAAATCGTGGGGGCGGTTGACTAGTCTGGGGGTGCTGTTTTATACACCTCAGTGAAGGGCTCGTGGAAGTGAAACTTGAACACGTGTGGGCGGGAAGTGGGGGACGCCATGGGAAGGGGGTGGAGGAGGTGTTTGCCAGGCCGAGGAAGCCTCATGTGCAAAGCCCAAGACAGAGACAGGCTCCGTGCTCAGGGACAGCAGAGCCCATGTCACTAGAGTCCAGGGATGAGGCCATGGGAGGTGAGTGGGCTGGGGCCAGATCCTCGCGGGCTTGCGGGCCACAGTGATCAGTTGGGACTTCATTCCGAATGTTTTAGGGAGCCACCGTGTCATATGGAGCAAGAAGGTAACAGGAAACAGTTTTATTTTTGATGCCTCACTCTGTGTCAGAGGTGGAGGAGACCTTTTATTTCCCATAAGTTTCTTAAAATCACAAATAGTTATTAGGGAGAAAGGAACAGACGCCCGCCTTCCCGGCCACATCTCGTGTTCCTGCAGTGGCCGGGATGTCTTTGGAAACAAGTAGTGGGCACTCGCGGTGAGAGCTGGTGTACGTCCCCACATAAGCCCCCTGAGAATCACACACTCCGGAGACTCGGGCCTTCTCCCTGACTTCCTGAGGAGCAGCCTCGTGTGACAGTTAAGATTGTCAAGAAAGCTTATTTTTAAAAAGTTGTTATTAAATACAACCACATCGAGCCTGGCCAGTGTGGCTCAGGGGTTGAGCGTTGACCCATGTGACCCAGGAGGTTGCTGGTTCAATTCCTGGTCAGGGCACATGCCCAGGTTGTGGGCCCGATCCCCAGTGGGGGGCATGCAGGAGGCGGCCAGTCGATGTTCTCTCTCATCAGTGTTTCCATTTCTCTCTTCCTCTCCCTTCTCTCTCTAAAATCAATAAAGAAAAAAAATATTTTAATACAGACACATCGAAATTAATTAATTGATATTCCTCTTGATCTCCAAAGGATTTGAAGGGAAAAGGATATAGAAATTAGAGAACAGGGAATCAACCAAAGAGGGGAGGGGAGGGGAGGGGGAAGGGCTGCAGCCCACCGGGCATGCTTCCTGAGCCTTCTGCAGCCGGCTCTGGTGATCAGATGTGGGGTGCTCGTGTCAGGTTCCTGCTGATGCAGCATTATCAGTTCAGACAGGACTTCGGAGTCAAACTCGGGTTTGAATCCTGGTTCTGTCATTTGCTGGCTGTATTCCATGGAAAACTTACTTCATTGTCTTCAGCCACCATTCAACTGTGGGGAGTGGAGAATAATGACAGTAGTTGTCTCGTGAGGTCGTGATGAAGGATTAGAGATTGAGATAATGCATTCCAAACGTTTGGCACACCGCGCTGGGCACACCGGAAGTGCTCCTTGCTGGTGATTTGTGGTAACAATAATAATGTGTAATGCTGAGAGTCGGGCCGGTTGAAGGCAGAGGCTTGGATCCTCCTAAACGAGGGGGGCAGTAAAGGGAAGGGGGGTACTTCCAGGTAAGGGTGGACTGGCACAGCCTCTTCCTCAGGAACAGCGGGCCAGTAAGGCCCCTAAGGGGTGCAGGGCCACTGGACTGTCAGCCTGCGCGCTGCAGAGCAGGCGCTGCATGACAGGTGCTGCGGGGCGGGCGCTGGGGGGGTGCTGGGGGGCAGGCGCTGGGGGGGTGCTGGGGGGCAGGTGCTGCACGACAGGTGCTGCGGGATGGGCGCTGGGGGGGTGCTGCGGGGCGGGCGCTGCAGGGCGGGCAGTGATGTGTGAGTGCGATGCAGCCCACTTGTTTAATTGCCAGTGGAGGCAGTAGCTGATGCTCTTTTTTCTTTTCTTTCTTCTTTATTGATTTTAGAGAGAGGAAGGGAGAGGGAGAGAGATAGAAACATCAATGAGAGAGAACATCGAGTGGCCGCCTCCTGCATGCCCCCCACTGGGGATCGAGCCCACAATCTGCGCGTGTGTCCTGACCTGGAATTGAACCAGTGACCTCTTGGTGCAGGGTCGACACTCAACGACTGAGCCACACCGGCCGGGCAGTAGCTTATGCTCTTGTAACCAGGTCCCATTAACCTCTGCTGCTTGTTACCTGTCAAACGCCCGTCTAGGTCGCGATGAGGAGAAGGTGAAGTACATTAAGAAATATCTTCAGACAGTGGGAATGTTTCGGGATTTCAGTGACTCCTCTCAGGACCCGGATTTTGCCCAGGTACGAGAGCGCCTTCACCGCTTGGGTTTCCTCTTCCCGAAGGCGGGATCGCGTCCTGCATGCTTTTTCTTGGAGGTATAGTTGCAGAAAATCCGTCATTACCAAGTCAGTGCAGGAGAACAACGTATTCAGAGGCTAGAAACTAAAAAGATAAGGAGCCGTGAGCATAACAAACGATATGACTTCTTCCATTTCTTCTGGCCTTAAGGTGGGGTGTGCTCCCCTTTGTGTGCAACTAACTCCTCTTATGTAGAAGAGCTTGGAAGAAGGACTTCACTAGAAGGTCTAGAGTTATTCAAGGACTAAATTCTTCAAAGAAATGGAGGTGAAAACATGTCGGTTATTTCTGATGTATCCGAGGACAGAGCCTTCATTCATTTCCTGGGCTGCCAGCCACGTCCACATTTCAGTGGGGCCCTCATTTTGCTCAGGTTATATCGAGGGAAGGAAGTGCTCCGTTGGACTGAGGCCCACTTCCTGGCATTGATGATTAAGGGCTGCATCCCTCCCACATCATCTTAGAAAAAGTACAGTGGGTTATGTACCATTTCACTAAAAGCCCATCCCAGACTAACTTAAAAGTAGGAGCTGCTTTTCACAGATGGTCGAGTGGAAGTCCCTGGGCAGAGCTGCAGTGCCCACCGGTCTTCCCGAGAGGGGCAGGGCCGCCTGCGACCCCCGCTCTTTAGGTGACCATCTTCAACTTTGGAAACTCATCCCTTCAGTGTTAAAATGAACGTTGAGCCCTGGCCGGTTTGGCTCAGCGGTTAGAGAGTCGGCCTGTGGTCCCGAGAGACCCGGGTTCGGTTCCCGCTAAGGGCATGTACCTCAGTTGCAGTTAAATGAAAAAATGTCCTTGGGTGAGAATAAAAAAAAAAAAAATGAACGTTGACCTCCAGGGTTTTGAACATGGTGTTGAGTTTTTATTGTTGTGGTGTTTTAAGCCCTCTGGCATGGCTTATGATTTTTCTTTGTGGGTTAATGTCAGTTCCACTTTTCCTTCGGGGGCACAGGTGGTGGAATTAGATTTGAAAACAGTAGTGCCTTGCTGCAGTGGACCCAAAAGGCCTCAGGACAAAGTCGCCGTGTCAGACATGAAAAAGGACTTCGAAAACTGCCTTGGAGCCAAGGTAAGTGCCCAGGAGACAGGTGGAGGTCGTCCTCAGCCCTGGCCGCCCCGCTCTGCTTCTTAGTGCCCAGGAGACAGGTGGAGGTCCTCCCCAGCCCTGGCCGGCCCTGCTCTGCTTCTTAGTGCCCAGGAGACAGGTGGAGGTCCTCCCCAGCCCTGGCCGCCCCGCTCTGCTTCTTAGTGCCCAGGAGACAGGTGGAGGTCCTCCCCAGCCCTGGCCGCCCCGCTCTGCTTCTTAGTGCTCAGGAGACAGGTGGAGGTCCTCCCCAGCCCTGGCCGGCCCTGCTCTGCTTCTTAGTGCCCAGGAGACAGGTGGAGATCCTCCCCAGCCCTGGCCGCCCCGCTCTGCTTCTTAGTGCCCAGGAGACAGGTGGAGGTCCTCCCCAGCCCTGGCCGCCCCGCTCTGCTTCTTAGTGCCCAGGAGACAGGTGGAGATCCTCCCCAGCCCTGGCCGGCCCCTGCTCTGCTTCTTAGTGCCCAGGAGACAGGTGGAGGTCGTCCTCAGCCCTGGCCGCCCCGCTCTGCTTTTAGTGCTCAGGAGACAGGTGGAGGTCCTCCCCAGCCCTGGCCGCCCCGCTCTGCTTTTAGTGCCCAGGAGACAGGTGGAGATCCTCCCCAGCCCTGGCCGCCCCGCTCTGCTTCTTAGTGCCCAGGAGACAGGTGGAGGTCCTCCCCAGCCCTGGCCGCCCCGCTCTGCTTTTAGTGCCCAGGAGACAGGTGGAGGTCCTCCCCAGCCCTGGCCGCCCCGCTCTGCTTTTAGTGCCCAGGAGACAGGTGGAGGTCCTCCCCAGCCCTGGCCGCCCCGCTCTGCTTCTTAGTGCCCAGGAGACGGGTGGAGGTCCTCCCCAGCCCTGGCCGCCCCGCTCTGCTTTTAGTGCCCAGGAGACAGGTGGAGGTCCTCCCCAGCCCTGGCCGGCCCCGCTCTGCTTCTTAGTGCCCAGGAGACAGGTGGAGGCCCTCCCCAGCCCTGGCCGCCCCGCTCTGCTTCTTAGTGCCCAGGAGACAGGTGGAGGTCCTCCCCAGCCCTGGCCGGCCCTGCTCTGCTTCTTAGTGCCCAGGAGACAGGTGGAGGTCCTCCCCAGCCCTGGCCGCCCCGCTCTGCTTCTTAGTGCCCAGGAGACAGGTGGAGGTCCTCCCCAGCCCCGGCCGGCCCTGCTCTGCTCCTTCGTGCCCAGACTTCTTTTTACCCCACTCCGTGCTAACTCTTCCTGAAGCCTGGCCATGAGGGCATTTCTCCTCCATCCTAAAGTGCTCAGTGCCCCTGCCCCTATTATCCAGGAACCAAAAAGCTTCCTAAGAATACTCCACCGTCTGGAAATGTAATCACTCCACCTTTTAAAAGCTTGTCCGCTTTCCACACGACTCACACGTTGTTCACTCTGCTTGCCCAGCCTCTCCTGGCCCTCGTGCTTCTGTCCGCTCAACTCCCCACCCGCGTGTCTCTTCCCGTTGGCCGGCCTGCCGACCAGCTCGCCCTGACCGATCAGCTCATCTGATCGATAGCTTGTCCTGACCAATCAGCTCGCCCTGATCGGTGCCTCGCCCTGATCGATAGCTCCCGCGCAGAATGGCCTCAGGTCTCCGAGCAGAGAAGCCTCTGCTTCATCAGCACCTTTAGGGCACTGGATTAGTTGAATCTGACCACAACAGCACCTTTTCTAAATTTCCATCGGCTTAGAGTCAGTGACCTCGGTCCATGTTCATTAAACTCTGTAGTAACATCATTGAGTTCTACTTAGACCAAATTTGAACTAAATTTGTAATTTTTGCATTTCTATTGTTTGAGTAGGAAGGAAGGAATTGTTCATGTCAACGCGCAATAAGATTCAGAATTATGACTGCTGTTTGCAAAGATTTTAAAAATCTAAAGGAAACTTGAATTTTTCTGTGGCATTTCAGAGTTTATTGGCCAAGATATTTGTGTTTTGTTAAGTATTGCCCTTTAAAATTATAATTCCCAGAGTATTTCTTCTTTTAAAGTGAGAACTTTTGAACAAATATATGTGTGTATGTATAAAAAATTTTGTTTTCTACAGCAAGGGTTTAAAGGGTTCCAGGTTGCTCCGGACCATCATAACGACCAGAAGACGTTCATCTATAATGACAGCGAATTCGCCCTCGCTCATGGCTCCGTGGTGATCGCCGCCATCACCAGCTGCACAAACACCAGCAATCCGTCTGTGATGTTAGGAGCAGGTACGTGCATCCGAAACCCTCCTCGCGGCCGCGGGGACGTGTGGGTAAAACCTCCTGAGACGTGAAGGGGGGGCTTAACCAAGTTCCACATGTGGGTCCCTGAGCCTTGTCTTTTCCAGATGTAGGAAGTTATTGGCCCAGAAATGCTTACACAGTAAATAGTGTCCAAAGCAAAGTGTTTGAAGTAGAATGCGTAGTGCATATAGTCTTTAGATTAACACAGAAAGTAAGTGGAAGAAAGCAAAACAAGGTGAGTGTCTGGTAAAGCACAGAACCTTGTATCAGACTTCAGAAGAAATAAGCTGCTCTCCCCTCACAGGCTGTTCTCAGAACCACCCCCGACAGGCCTTGTTCTGTGCAGTGCATCTGTCTTCGGTGTATTGTCGAGGGCACCTCGTTAGGGCACAGGCGCTGGTGGATGAAACTCACCAGCTCTCATGCGATTCTGGGGAAGTCGTTAATACGACTCGCAGAGCCCGTCACTGTAAGTCTCTGGTTTCCACGTTGAGCGTCCCCTGCACTGAGTTGTCGCGCCCCTTGTGCGCATCGATCTCAGTTACAACCCCCTTTCCTCGGGAGGTGGGCGTGCGTAGGGACGGCCTCTGCCTGAGCAGCCCGCTGTTGCCAGCTCAGCTGTTTTTGTCTGGCACAACCCAGCTTCCTTAGGACAGGTCACCAGCTTCCTGTCTCTTCATCCCCCCACTCCTCTTTCCTTCCTTCTTGCTTCTGTGATGCGTCCTAAGACAGCACCCAGGGCCCTGCGCTTGTCTGTCTGCTGAGAGTCCAGTGGCCCAGGAGCTCTTGATCTTTCACTTTAAGAAATATCTGTGGCCCGGCCCATATGGCTCAGTGGTTCAGCGTCAACCTGTACACCCTGAGGTCTCTGGTTCGATCCCCAGTGGAGGGCATGCAGGAGGCAGCCAATCAGTGTTTCTCTCATTGGTGTTTCTATCTCCTTCTCCCTTTCTTTCTAAAAATTAATAAAAACATTAAAATATATATATATCAGAGGACTAGATTGTAACATCTAGACTGACTATTCCTCACCGGCCAGTACACGATTCAGAGGGCCCTGCCAATTAGAATTTTCATCTAATAAAATGTAATTGGAAAGATTACTTTTTCTCCCCAAATTAAAAATTCATTCTTTAATATTTTCCTAAATAGTTTTAAGTTTATCTCTTAAAACACACACACACACATTTTCTCATTCTTACGGCTGATTTGAGTTGACCGCGTACAGGTGAGTGGCTTTGGGCCAGGGGACTGGGTTCCGGTAGGCAGCAGAGGTAGCAGGAAGTGCCCACGTGAATGGAGCTCTGTCAGGCGGGGGCAGGGATGCCGCGGAAGAGTCCCTGGTGCCCAGGTAGGTCCACCCACACCGTGTCTGTGCTCCCCGTGTCACAGGCTTGTTAGCCAAGAAAGCTGTGGACGCCGGCCTCAGCGTGAAGCCTTACATCAAAACCAGCCTGTCTCCTGGGAGTGGCGTGGTCACCTACTACCTGAGAGAAAGCGGAGTCATGCCCTACCTGTCTCAGCTGGGGTGAGGGAGAGTTTCCTCTTGCCATTGCCTGTGTGGTACCCTCTTCCACATGTATCTTGCTTTGTCATTTGTAACAGATGTAAGTCTGTCATTTATTGTGTAGTCTTTGTCAGATGGTGAGGGGACTCGAACACTTACATCCCAGCAGAGCAGGGCCCTCCTGTGGACAGTGGCGCTGGCCGCTCCTTACAGGAGCTGTGTGACGGGCAGGGCAGGGCGGGGTCCGGCCTGTGCGGAACCCTCTCTGCCACGGGCCAGCCTGGGCTCTGCAACTGAGAACCTGCCCTTCGGAAAGAAAAGCGTCATTTACCGTCTAAAAATGTTCCTGTTCCTTCAAGTAAATTAGTTATTTGTTGCCAGGTTCAGTTTCTCCAACTTCCCCATTATTCCTAACTCGGATAACAGAGATTTTATTCATGTGCCTCCTAAAAGTTAGAAATCTTTGGGATTATACAATAAAAGTAGTGACTAGAGCCCTGGCTGGTTTGGCTCAGCAGTTAGAGCATTGGCCCGCTGACCAGAGAGTCCCGGGTTCGGTTCCCACTAAGGGCATGTACCTCAGTTGCAGTTTGTCCCTGGCCCCGGTTGGGGTCGTGTGGGTGGCAGCCACTCGATGTCTCTCTCTCACATCAATGTTTCTCTCTCTCTCTCCCTCTTGCTCTATCTGAAAGTGAATGCAAAAATGTCTTAGGGTGAGGATTAAAAAAAAAGTAGTGACTAGAGACAATACATGGAATGTTTTATTTCAACTTTTAAAAATTTTAGATCATTCCATTAGACTTCTTTTTATAATTAACTCAAGAAGAAGTCTAATGGAATGATCTGGAAGGGATGCTCCCAGGAATGGAAGCTGGATAGGAGCAGCAGCACTACACTTACTCCATGAGCTGCCATCCCTTTAATCTCGGGGACTGTTCCGGCGAGGGGCTCGCTGAGAATTCTGTGCTCCCGGCTTCCAGGTTCGACGTGGTGGGCTACGGCTGCATGACCTGCATCGGCAACAGCGGGCCCTTGCCGGAGCCCGTGGTGGAAGCCATCACTCAGGTGAGTCCAGCAGCTGTGCGTCTTCAGAGCCGTGGCCTCTTTTCCTGGGATGTGTGACCACAGGGCTGGTAATTTCCAGAAGGTTCAGGGAAGCAGCAGGCGTGGTCAGGTGTGGTCTTCGGAGTGCTAGACTCACTAGCCAGATAACCTTGGGCAAGGTAATTAACCTTTTTTTTAAAACTTTTATTTATTGATTGATTTTAGAGAGAGAAGAAGGGAGAGGGAGAAAGAGATAGAAACATTGAGAACATCGATTGGCTGCCTCCTGCATGCCCCCCGCCCGGGGATCAGGCCCACAACCTGGACACATGCCCTGACTGGGAATCCAACCCCGTGACCTCTTGGTGCACAGGCCGACGCTCAGCCACTGAGCCACAGCAGCCGGCCAATTGACCTCTTAGTACCTGAGCTTTCGCCACTGTGCCCTGGAGGTGATGGCAGTGCCTGCTCCCTGGACCGGGAGCATTGAGGCCAGAGTGGCGTGGGAGCTTTGCGTGGCGCCCGGACGAGGCGCTCAGCAAACGCAGGGTTTGCCGCAGAGGGCTCCAGGCCGTTTGCTGGGTCACCTGCACACGTTCCACGTCGGAGGAGTCTTCTCTCACGTGAAGCACACTGAATTGCTTGGCTTGGTTCTTACCCCAAATTCTGTACCGTTGACAGATTCTATTTGGTTTGCTGTGTATGAACCAGAGTCCACATAAGTCGGGGTGGCTTCCTTTAACTTTGAACTTACAGCCATTCCCACTGGCCTTAGGCCCCAGGCGGCAAAATAACGTTTTCTCATGGCAGAAACCAGCACACATGTCTTTCTGTGTCTTCTGGCCCAGAGCGCCTCCCACGGGGACACGCTGTGTGCTGCAGAGGAGAGGGCCGGTGGAAGGGAAGCGGATGAAGCTGCATCCGGGTGATGGGAAACTTTGAAAGATGGTCTGAAGCAAGCGGCCTAGGTCATCTGTTCTTGCAGCCTGATTTTTCTCTCGCCTTACACAGGGAGACCTTGTGGCTGTTGGAGTTCTCTCTGGCAACAGGAATTTTGAAGGTCGAGTCCACCCCAATACCCGGGCCAACTATTTAGCCTCGCCGCCCTTAGTGATAGCGTACGCAATTGCGGGGACCGTCAAGATCGACTTCGAGAAAGAGCCGTTGGGTGAGATTTTGTTTGTGTGGTTCGTTTTTTCCCAGTGAATTTGAAAATATTGGAAGAGAGCTAGTGCTTTCCGTAATAAATAATGAAGCCGAGAATTTCCAGGGTAAGATGAGGAGTTTCTTTCCTTTACTCCCCAATACACAGGTAGGACATAATGAAGTAATAAGAATTTACTGTAGGGCAAGGGATGGTGAAAAAGAAAGAAATACAGGAACTAACAGAGAGCTTGCTCTTGGCTTCTCCAGTTCCTGTCTGTGTCCTGCTTTAACTAACGATCGGCATTGCTTTAACATGTCCTCCGTGGGAACACATTCCAGCTAGCTGACCCTCTCAAAGTCCTGAGAAAATGATGTCTCCTTTCCTCTGATCTTCTTGCTTTCTATCCCCTCCTGAACTCACACGAAGCAGATTAGATAGTATGAAAACAACGCCCTCTCCGTTCACCTGTAGGAAATATAACTTCGGAGGTACAGGTCATCCTCATTAAGTGTGGATTCCATATTTGCACATTTGCCTGTTCACTAAAGTGCATGTTAACCCCCGAGTCCTTCATGCGTCCATGGTCGTTCACAGGCGTGCACAGAGCAGGGGGAGCTTGGAGGCACTCACCGTGCACCCTCAGCTGAGGTCACACAAGGCAGCCCCCTGCCTCCGTACGTTAGCTGTCCTGTAAATAAGTGTCCCGTTCACGGTCTCACGCCATGTTGTCTGCATTTTTGAGCTTTCCGTTGGTGACTTCGCTATTTCAGATGGCCCCCGAGTATGGTGCTGACAGGCTCTGGCATCCTCCGGCCCAGGAAGCCTGTGCTGGCTCACGATCCGTAGGCTGCACGCGGCATGAGTCATGCACTCTGGCAGCCAGTTCAGTGTTAACGCATCAACAGCAGACATTAACCAAGGTGTCTGTAAGCGGGAGCACACGCCACGCAGGGTTTAAGGTGGTCGGTGGACAAGTGTTGTGGCATACTCTCAGACACCCAGCCTGTGTCCTCCGGGGCGGAGATTCGGGCTCGCCGCTGCAGTGTCGGCATGGGCTTGAGAGCACGCCACTGCCAAGAGCGAGATGCGCCTGTGAAATAATGTGAAAGGGGTGACGGTTTTCTCCCTAACAAGCACTCTTCCCCCAGGGGTGAATGCCAAGGGACGAGAGGTTTTTCTGAGAGAGATCTGGCCAACCAGAGAGGAGATCCAGGCGGTGGAGCGCCAGTACGTCATCCCTGGGATGTTCAAGGAGGTCTACCAGAAAATAGAGGTGAGGCCCCCCACTTGCCCCAGATCTAAGGGAGAGCTGGTCCTTTGTCGTCTCTGCAGACCTGAGGCCAGTGTGGGTGAAGACAGAAAGGAGCCGGTTGGTCACTCTCCTGTGACTCACGTGTTTACAGACCTCACACTCCCCAGAAGTTCCCAGATTAGACCGTGGGCGAGAAAAAGGCCCGGTGGTGTGATTCCTGGCCAGCCCTCCATAACTCCTTTCTCGGACACCTGGGTGCTGTGCCAGCTGTGGGAGAGGGCCCCTCCCCACGTCACCGTCTGTCATGGTGGAGTCTGGGTGGAGTGCACCTCTCACAAATTATTTGGATTCTTACAAATAATAATCAAACAAACAAATTAAAAACCCTTTAGTAGAAAGCACCAAACTGCTTAAATAAATGAAACTTTTTGTGCATTTTACAAATAGAGATAAAATGTATGGGGCTCAGTATTATTTTCTGAGACCGTTGGATGTTATTTCTTTCCGTTTTATGTGAGGCTGACCCAAGGACTGTGGGCAGGTGTGTGGGTGTGGAAGGAGAGCAGACTGTCTGGGAGAGGGGCCCTGGGCCCGCCCGCAGCGCCCCGGCAGAGTCGGGTGGGCACTGGGTGAAATGCACGTGTCCAGGGGCCTCGTTGATGGACATGTGGAGAGAATCCAGATGATTTTTATGCAAAGCAGCTGTCGTTTGCTATCCAGTGACCATGTGACCTGGAAGTGTACTTCCCAAAACCTTCAGAGAGTAAATACTTTCTCCTTTGTACAAATCTGGGTTATTATTTCTTAAGTTATATCTGTAAATATATGGATTAGTTATCTATTTCTGTACAACAAATTACCCCAAAAATGCCTGGGTTAAAACAGCCGCATTTATTATCTTACAGTCCTGCGGATCCAAGTGGGCTTAACGGGGTGCCTTGGCCTCCACAAGGCGCCAGTCAGGGTGTCCTCTGGGCTGCGGTTCTGAAGGCTCCGCTGGGGAGGGTGCACTTCCGAGGGCGCACGGGCTGCTGGACCAGGGGCCTGAGCTCCCCCATGACCGTTCGCCGGACGCCTTGCTCGTGGGTCCCGGCACAGCTCACAGCACGCCTGCGGGCTTCCCTGGGGCAAACAGGAGAAAGCAAGAGAGGGTGAGAGACATAGGAGGCAGAGTCTCTGTACAACCTGATCTTGGAAATGAGCCCCTAGGTCCAGCCCACACTCAGCTGAGGGGCTCCCTTTAGGGTATGCATGGGGGGATCCTCGGGGATTGCCTGTCACAGTGCGGATGTATTGATATTTAGCATGGCTCTGTCTTAGTATGAAGGAACTCTGGTGTGTGACTCGAATAACAATGTTTTTTATTGTGCTATTAGCTTGAATATATGTTTTTTTGCTTCAGTGTTAAATTTTCCTTAGAATAGGATGTAACTGGGTTGGCCTTGTGTTTTTTTTTTTAAAGACTGTGAACGAAAAGTGGAATGCCTTAGCAGCCCCGTCAGACAAGCTGTATTACTGGAACCCCAAATCTACGTACATCAAGTCACCACCGTTCTTTGACAACCTGGTATGACTTCTTATCTTTAACAAAAATGAGTTCTTCGAAGGTTTCTTTCCTCATAACATCTACGTTACTATCCTTACCTGTGCTTGCAGTAGCTGTTCCATTCAAACCCCACAAACCCAGCAGACTCCTGCGGGGAGTCTGGGGAGTTGGGATGTTTGCTGTTGGGCGCCTGGGTTTCTCCGCAGGGTGGCTGTGGCTCTGCAGGCACCTGGCGGCCAGGCGCCACCTGCACATGGGCTCGGTGGTGCCGGAGGGACTGTTCCAGGAGAATGTCCCAGGGCTGCCACCTTTAACCCTGAGACCCATTCAGTCCAGGGAAACCTTCCCTGAAACTGTGGTCCAGGAGTCCGTGCTGCTCGGGTGGCCCCTGTGGGAAGGGGATGGGATCGAAGTCCGAATCCCAGTTGTCCTCAGCACCCGAGGGGTCCTGTGGACGTGGAGAAGGAGAATCTCATTTGCAGCTGCATCGCTGTTGCTTTTGAGGGGAAGGGGCCAGTATTTCGCCTTCCCTTCAGGAGTGAGATGTGAATGTTTTGAGTACATTCACCTTATTTTTCTGAGCACCCCTATAAAACGGAAAAAAACACCTGGACTTTTCTAGGCACCGATTAGGGCTGTCATCTGGCTCAGGTCCACGGACCACTGCTGTTGAGACTTCCCTCGTGCCTTGTTGGCAAAGACCTGGGCCAACCCTGACCTGTTGTGTTCTTTGCTAGATGTTGGAGCTGCAGCCCCCTAAATCCATTGTGGATGCCTATGTGCTATTAAATTTGGGAGATTCAGTGACCACTGACCACATCTCTCCGGCTGGAAACATTGCAAGAAACAGCCCAGCTGCTCGCTACTTAACTAACAGAGGGTGAGTGAGGGAGGTGAGGACCGACTGCAGGCACAGGGACTGAAGAGGCCAGCATTTCGTCCGCTGGTCTCTGGAATCACTCATTTTTCACTGGACCCTGGGGCTTGAAAACCAGTCAGTCTTTCTGTTCCGCTACTTTGAAGCTTTCTTGGGTGAATCCGTCAGCACGAGCACCCATCAGGGACAGGGGACAATCTTTGAGCAAGTGTTGAACTCAGTAGGCTCAGCTGTCATCTCTTCCCCAGCTTGCCTCGTAGTTAAAGCCCAAGGCTCTGCTCTTCACCCGCTGCAGAGCCTGGCTGCGTTCCCGGCTGGGTGTGCTGCCTCGGGGACGGCAGCTCCCGCGGCCCCTCACCGGTCCTTCAGGCGTGTACCGATCGTAACAGCTGTTATGCCAGTATTGTCTGCTGGCGCCTAATATACACATGGTCATTGAAGTCAGGCCCAAACCTCACTTTCCATGAGAACTACCTGGGGAGATAAAAATTCCTGGTTCCCATCCCCACCTCCCGAGTCAGCTTCCCGCAGAGCTGGGACCCAGCCACTTCGAGGAACAAAATCCAGCACTTTCTTTTGATTGGTGATGATCTCTTTTGAGACATGGACTCTTTCTGGGATTGAATGAAACCAGGAAAATGCAAATATCCACAACATTTTGGATATAAATTTATTTGCTCCTGAAACCCATTTTATAGATTCTCCCAGTCCTCAAATTAGATTTAACTTTTAAATCCTATTAACACTCAATCACATTTCCTGGCATTTTAAGCAATAGCCCCATGAACTGGTCACTGTGTTCACTGTAAAATGTTGTTCCTAACATTCTAACATCCCCCTTCATCGGGCCCACCAGCGAGATTTTTCTCTGATTTCAGGACCAGGAGAAATAGTTGTTTTACCTCTTTGGCATGACTTTGACTTTTATCTTATGAAGTTGTAAATCCTGTTGCCAGTTGTGTGTTTTCCCTTTCAGTTAAATTCCTGATAACTCGGAGACAAATCTGAACGTCCTTCTGGTTAGTTTATGGACGTACTTTCTGTTTCCCCCCGTCTTGGCCCCACCTTGCTGGCTTACCCTGATTATTGTCTTTGCTTCCTTTTTCTTACCCATTTTTTTTTTTTTTGCATTTATCTTCAGACAGAGCAGGAGGGAGAGAGGGAGGGAGAGAGAGAAAGAAACATCAACGTGAGAGAGACACATCAACTGGTTGCCACCCACAGGACCCCAACTGAGCCCAGGGACAAACTGCAACCCAGGTACTTGCCCTTAGCGGGAACCGAACCAGGGATTCTCCAGTCCATGGGCCGATGCTCTAACTGCTGAGCCAAACCGGCCAGGGCCATTTTTGTTTTGTTTTAAATCCTCACCCACAAATATGTTTATTGATTTGAGGGAGAGGGAGAGAGAGAGTGAGAGAACCATTGATGTGAGACAGAAACATCAATCACTCGCCTTCCTCCTGCTCGTGCCCCAACTGGGGATCAAACGCACAACCCAGGTATGTTCCCTCACCGGAAATTGAACCCGCAACCCTTTGGTGTATGGACGATGCTCCAACCAGCTGAGCCACCTGGCCAGGGCTTTCTTTCCCATTTTTAATATTTTTGTGAAACTTTATAGGCTACCTTACTGAATAAATGAAATAAATACTCTATTATTAGAGTTCCCCCTGATTTTCTGCCCGATTTATAAGATGGAAAGTCGACCTGGGAGAGGATTGAATTCCACCTGGCCACCCTCCTGCCGCCTCACGCCCCCTCGGCCGAGCGGGGACAGCTGTCCCCCCTGGAGAGCAAGCAGAGAAGCACAGAGGCTTGGTTCTCCCTCGGTGTGAGCGAGGGTCCCGCCTCCAGGTCACTGACGCAGGTCCCCCCTGCTTCCTCACCAGCCTGGTCCCCCGAGAATTCAACTCCTACGGGTCCCGCCGAGGCAACGACGCCGTCATGGCGCGGGGCACATTCGCCAACATCCGCCTGGTGAACAAGTTTCTGAACAAGCAGGCGCCGCAGACCGTCCACCTGCCTTCTGGAGAAGTTGTGAGTGTGGCGGGTCTGCGTCCCCTCCCTGGGCGGGCACCGCGCCACTTTTCTTCCTCCCGTGGCCCTTGGCGCCCCGCCTGCTGCTCCCTCCCTGCGCTCTCCGGCCGGTGTCCGTGTGTGGGGACTCGGGGACACGACGCCTTCACCTGCGAACCTCCTCCTGCGCCGAAGTCCTGCCTCATGGCTGAACTAAATCCTCCTTCGGGGAGTTGAGCTTGAAAAGCCTCTGATAGAAATGCTCTGAGTCAGGGTATTTGTGGAGGAAATTCAGGTTAAGGTAGAGGATGTTTTTCCTGAAGGGCTGTTTGCTGCTTCATTGGATTTGACTGGAGCCTCCGGGAGAGAAGAGGGGAGGCCCTGGAGGCCTGCCTGGGTCCCCCCAGGAGCCGTCTGGTCCGCACGTAGCCGCGGAGTTGTCCGCTGGCGGCCTGGGTGACCTGGGAAGCCTGCCCTTGAGTCAGACGGGCCTGGTCAGGCTCTGAGGCTTGCACGCAGGTGGAGTGACATGTGACAGCAGCCCAGTGGCTGTCCTCGGGGTCTCTTCCCATCCCAGTGAAGGCTACGACACTGCCTGGACGCGGGCTAGCAGCTGGAGAAATAACCATCCCCGCATATTTTGAAACAGTGACAGCTAATGTTTAGGTAGAACGTACCGTGTCTCAGGTCCTGTCCTCAGCTGTTTGCATATACTGTCGGATTTAGTAGTCATCACGGCACTCTGCAGTGGGCACCATAATCCCCCACGTCTTACACCGGGAGCCTGAGGCACAGGTGGAGAAAGGTGAAATCCCCGGAGTCTGGCTCCCGGTCGGCGCTGTTCCCACCAGGCACTCTGCTCGCCGCCGGTGGTTCTGCGCGGTGAGCTCGCTGTCATCACCGGTCACGGGGCCAGCACAGCCCGTGCCCAGTGTTTGTTCAGTGAAGCAGGGACAGTGAACAGACTATTAGATGGAAAGATTCAGTGGCGTGTGGGATGCCCAGAGACCGCGCGGAGGCCTCGCGGTTCCCGGCCTCGGGGCCTCGTACGTGGGCTGTCCGTGGACGTCAGCGCCGCGCCCTGACGTAGAACCTCAGTCAGATGTCTGGTGCTTCCCCCTAAGCAACCAGACAGAATCGGGGGCGGACATTTGAGTCAGTCCTTGAACTTGAAGACTAGACCAAGGACGGGAGAAAGGGAGAGGAAACGTAGGTAATGCAAAGAGTGGAAAACTGAGGAAAAACATTGTTTCCTCGGAGTGATGAGATGTTCTGTTGCTATAATCAAAGGGCAAAAAAGAGCTCTTTAAATTAAAAAATAATAAAGCCCTTGAAAATTTACAGGAAAAGTTGATTAGTTGAGAAAATCTCTCAATATACAACAGAAAGACAGAGGAGAAAATTAAGACTGAACTGAGGAGGCCGGACACATGACTGAACAGACACTGAAAACAAGAAGAAATTCCCACCGATGCCACACAGGGAAGGTGACCCACGCCAGTCCCGTCACTGTGACGTTGAGCCCGCAAGCCAAGGACGAGATCTGGAAACTCCAGAGAGGGAACACAGATCCCACACATCTGCTGGGCGTCGGGTGCCCGAGCTGCCCTGGAAACTTAGACTGATTTCTCCCTTAAAACTCCGATCCTCATACCGCCAGTCAAATGAAATAAAAGGAATAACACATGCAGATACTAAAAAGCTTAAAAAATAGCCCTCAGTCCCTGTCTCAGAAAGCTACTTGTTGAAAGTGTCCCACTAAAGTGAGGGAATAAACCAAAACAGAGGAAGATGTCAGGTGCAGGAGAAGGCAGTGCTGGGGGTCCCCAGGATGTGTGGGGGGGTCCTTGATCACGGGGTGCACAGCTAGAGCTCCGCAGCCCAGACCGGAGCAGGGCCGGGCTCCAAGAATGACAGTCCCATGAAAAACGTCTTCTAGACAGATCACCTGACACAACTGAGTGTCTGCAGAGAAGATGTGAACCATGGGTCCTTGGGGGTGTCAGTAGACAGCTATCTCTGAAATTATATCCAAAAGCGTGTGTGTGTATCTTTTGTTATGGGGGGAAATTCCATGGTTTTCATAATCTCAGAAGTTGAGGGCCCAAAACTTATTTAAGGCAGAGCTTTTGGGGATTCATTGGTGGGTGGGATAACTAAAACGTTAGTGACTCTCCTGTCGTTTAATGACAGGTGCCTCCATCACCTTTTCTCCTCTCTCTACCTTGACCTCCATGCAGAAGGGTCACTAATAAAAGTTTGCATTTTGTATCATTTCAGAACATTACCTACCTTGTGTTTTGCTACCTTCATAATTGACCATCACTGGGTCTCTGGTACTGAGTTGAAACTCAGGTTTAGGTGGGGAATCTCTGTTTTTTAAAAGTTTAAAAATAGTTTAATTGATGGAAGAGGAGAAAATCTATTCTACTTTCCTTGTTCCCTTGATGCCTTAGGAGTTGAATGTTTTTCTGAAACCTTCGCAATCAGCCATTTCAGTTGAAAGACTATAAAGTACAGTTTGGCAGGGTGGATAGATGGGATCTGTAGACCGGCCTGCGATGGGCTCACTGCAGACCTCGGACCCCGCGTCCCCCAGCTCTTGTTGGCCTGTGTCTGCTCCTTGTGCCGTTGCAGCACCTGCAGTGCTTCCTTCTCTCCTCCCCAGCTGGACGTGTTCGATGCCGCTGAGCGGTACCAGCAGGCGGGCCTTCCCCTGATCATTCTGGCCGGCAAGGAGTACGGCTCAGGCAGCTCCCGGGACTGGGCAGCCAAGGGCCCCTTCCTCCTGGTGAGTGTGACACGGGGACATCCCAAGGGGCAGCTGCCCCTGGTCCAGGAGGGAGGCTGGGCGGGACCCAGGATCAGTGTCGTGGAGGAGCCTCTCAGAGAAGCGTGTGGCGTGTGTTCTTCTCACTTCCCAGTGGGTCTGGCTACTCGTCTTCAGTGAAGGGTAATCTAGAGTTCATGGGTCCCTCCATCAGACGTATCCTGGGAACCGTGGTCTTTGGGGGTGTCAGTAGAACAGCTAGGGGGCGGTCTGTGCAGTCTCTGAAGTTATATCCAAAAGCGTGTGTGTATGTCTTTTATTATGGGGAAAAATTCCATGGTTTTCATAATAATCTCAGAGATTGAGGGCCCAAAATTTATTTAAGGCCATTGTCCCAGGTGAACTTGAGGAATAAGCCGGGGCTGCTGCTACTGGACTGGCTGCCAAGTTCACGGAGGGGAAAAGGAAGGAGCCTGAGCTTTGGGTAAACTCAGGGGAAGTCCTTCCTCCAATTTCCTGTGACGTCAGCTTGTAGACGCAGCAAGAAGGACACTCTCTGGACCCTTCAGCGTTTCTGGGCTCGGCCCCCGGGTCCCAGGGCGGAGCCACGCAGGCGGCAGAGAGCTCTCACCTCAGCGTTTGCTCATCCGGCCTCAGTCCTCAGGGCAGGGCAAAGGGGCTCAGCTGATGCCAATTTAAAGAACGTGTGGCTCGGGCCAGTTAATGCACTTGGGAACACTAATAAGTGATATCCACAGCGCAGTGGAAAATGGCTGTCCAGCAGGCAGCCCCCCAACGTCCAAGTTCTGAAAATCTTGGAATATCACACACCTTTTATGTTGTCTTTTTAATCAATCATTTTGCTGTGTAGGAAAAAAAAAAAAAATGTTCTCTGATCACTTGGTAATATGTCAGGGGCATGCTTTTTAAGAAACTGCTGAAAAGAACCAGCGAAAAGAAGGAAGGGATTCTAGGAAGGGAGCAGGGCGCCCGCAGTGGAGAGCAGTTGGGTGGGGAACTGTGAGGTGGGTGGGAGGGTTAGGAGAACCGACCCAGGGGGCGCTGCAGAGTCTGGCCTGCCCTACAGAGCTGCTTGAGCCCTGGCTGCCCACACACCATCCACTTCATTCTGCAGCTGCCCAGCCTGGCACACTCAGCAGTCCTGGGCCGAACTCTCGCGGAAAGGGTTAAACAGTTGTGATCTGTGCATCTGCAGCCCTGCACAGCCATTTATACAGAGCTAGGGACGTGAACACTATGTGTTTACACAGGTTTCTACTTCCCCCCAAAATAAATACATAATGCATATATCTGTAAATCTATACAAAATATATACTATCCTGAAGAATCTGCCCTTTCTCCATAAATTTTTTTTTAAATCTGGAATCAGTCCTGGCCAGGTAGCTCAGTTGGGTCAAGCATCAGACTGGTACACCAAGTTTGCAGGTTCGATCCTGGTCAGGGCACATACAAGAAGCAACTGATGAATGCATGAGTAAGTGGATCAACAAGTCGGTGTTTTTCTCTCTCTCACTCTCTAAAAATCAATCAATAAATTTAAAAATAATTTTGGAAACACCTGTGGGTTTTTTTTTTAAATACCTGAGCCTGGATCTTATCCCCAGAGAATAATGGGAAAAAGGCCTGGATGTCAGGATGGTGAAAGCCTTCCTTGGTGATTCCAGTATGCAGCAGATCTGAGAAGCACTGCTCCGTAGCCATGGTTCTCGTGACGACAAGAATCTCTCTTCCTCCTGCCCCCACTTCCTGTGTGAGATTCTGATGCAGGAGATCTGGGGTAGTGCCCAAGACTCTCCTTTTAAAAAATTATTTGTATATTTATTTTTATTTATTGATTAGAGAGAGAGAGAAAAAACCAAAAACATCAATTTGTTCTACCTATTCATGCATTCATTGGTTGCTTCCTGTATGTGTCCTGACCGGGGATCGAACCCACAACCTTGGCGTATTGGGACTGAGCTACCCAGCCAGGGCTCTAAGATTCTACGTTAACAAGCTCCCTGGGTGACTCTTATGCAGGAGGGATCTTAAAAGTGTACCCTAGATATCAAGAGACCTTTTAGGGGTACTTAAACATTCTATTACAGTTAACTAATGTTTGAGAATGGGGTGTTTTAGTTCATTGAGTGCCCTGGTTTATTGATCAGTGTTGTATATTTCCAGTTATAGATTACCAAGAAAATGTACTTCATAGATTGGTTAGTCAGGATTCAGTACGGTTTGATCCCTGAAATGTGAAGTGTAAAGCAGCACAGAGGACGCCTTTACTGCCATGGCGGTGTGCTCTATAAGTTGCTTTTTGATGACATCAGCCGTGTCTGCCAGGGCACCTACAGTCGTGACAGAATTGAAGGGAAGGAGATGAATTTTCTGTGTGTTGTCTTTGTAATGTGGATTTCAGTTACAATGGAAGTTTGCTAAGACGTGTTGCATCACAGCGTGGCTAAGTGTGTGGTCAGGCTGCGTGGGTTCCAAATGCCAGCTATTCCCCTGACCACCTGGGGGAGGGGGACACGAGTAGCCTCTCCCTCCCAGGCTGGTGGAGGGCGAATGAGAGGAGTCATCTGAGTGCTTACACAGGGCACTCGTTGGAGACTAACTACTGTGTTATTTATAGCTGGGGACTAACAGTCTGTGTAAATGATTCATTGGTACTTATAAAGAATTTAGATGTGAGAAGAGTTTTGACTTGAGAAGCCTTTTGTTAAGTTTCTTTGCGTCTAAAGAGAAATCGGTGGAAGTGTGTCCAGACTCCTCTCTCCCCATCAGGGAATCAAAGCTGTCCTGGCTGAGAGTTACGAGCGCATTCACCGCAGTAACTTGGTCGGAATGGGGGTGATCCCCCTGGAATACCTCCCTGGGGAGACTGCCGACACCCTGGGGCTCACGGGGCGCGAGCGATACACCATCAGCATCCCGGAAAACCTCAGACCACGAATGAAAGTCCAGGTCAAGGTAAGCCGGGGCCTCTCGTGCCGGGCCAGCCAAAAGGGACCCTGGGTTTGTAGTCAGTCTTGTCAGAAGGAGATCCGTGGAGTTTGGAAGAAGGAAAGAGTAGGACTGCGTTAGAATTAGTTTTACTAGCACCTTCTCTACCTGCCTCAGCATATTATTCCTGATTATTCGTCATCCTTTCCATTCTTACCTCCAGGCCTTCCCGTTCCCCCCAGTCTCACGTAGGCCAGGGAATGCTCGTGAAAGCTCAGGGAGAGGGCATTACCTGAAAATCACCTTTTCATTGTAATCATGTGAACGAGAAACACTCTCGCCTGTTCCTGAGTCAGCCCAGAACGACAGCCCCCTGGGCCAGGGAAGGATGCAGTGCCCAGCACCACGGTCTCGGGGGATGTAGGCTCCCAGGGCGGACAGCGAGGCTCACTGCCTAAGGGACGACCCCGACCAAGTCCGCTGACCTGGGACACGGCCGTCTGCAGGGAGCTCCCAGAGAGGGCTTAGAAAATACCATCCCAGAGCTCGGCCGTGACTGCGGCCCAGACTCTCAGACGTCTCACTTCCATTCTTTATGCTGGGCAGTGCTTTCCCACGCAGAGGAGGCTCTGGGATCTTGTTAAAATGCAGCTTCTGATTCAGAGGGTCTAGGCCGGGGCCAGAGACTGCATGTTCCAGGCGCTGCTGGTGTGCGGACTACACCCTGAGCGCCAGCGGAGCGCCTGCTGGGCACCAGCTCCCCACTGAGCCGTCTCACCTCCTCCCTCAGTTTTCTTCTTTGCTTTGTCGTCACAGCTGGACACCGGGAAGACCTTCCAGGCCGTCATGAGGTTTGACACCGACGTGGAGCTCACTTACTTCCTCAACGGGGGCATCCTCAACTACATGATCCGCAAGATGGCCAAGTAGGCCCTCGGTTCGTGGGAAGCCTGCCCTGGGAGCTGCCCCGGAGCACCGCGGCGCCACCAGCCCGCTGAGCCCCGCACAGAAGCCGGTGCCCTGCCTCCACGCAGGGGCTGCTGGCAGACGGGGCGCGAGCCCTGGCGTTCTGGTGCCATCCCTCCGGGCCCAAGCTCAGCAGTCTCTTCATTCTCTGGTTTTGTTCCTCTTTTTATCTTTCTCGAATCTGGAAACTAGCATGGTGGGATGTCAGTACTTCCAGGAAGAACTGAGCTCGTCTTTAAGTTGACTGATCATAGAATGTTGATTTTTGTACTCTTAGCTCATGTTGCTGAACACAGATAAGTCTTCTCAGAAGGTATTTCCTGTGCTCTTTGTTTCTCGATCCTGAGCTCAGTGAAGCCTTTTCCTCGAGGGGCACTTGCCTTTGCCTCTCACACCAGTGTTAACTGACATGGGTAGATGTGAACTTTGCACACTTCAGGTCACCCGGTGATTGTGATTCTCCCGCCCCTCTCCTTCAGCGTGAATGATCGAGACCTTGTGGACAGGTCCATTGTTGAAACTTTTTCATTATGTACCTTTGGGTGGATCAATATTAAAGAAATGTGAAGCTTTCTTGTACTATCTTTAAAACTTTTCCCCAGAAAATTCTTTCATTTGTCAAGATGATAACTTGGGGAGGTGGTTTTGCAGAGAGACACAGATATTTCTAATTTGAATAAAATTAAATCTATTTTCAAGAAAACCTTTTGACTTTGGAATTGAATTCTGTGTGTGTGGCTCTATTTTGGACTTTGAGAGCAGAGCGCATCTCAGACATGAGCTTCCCAAAGCCCAGATGACCTTCACGTTGTCCTGTGGAATAACTGCATCGGTGCTGCTGGTGACAAGGAAGTGCTGGGACCGGCATGTCCCCTGCCCCGTGGCCAGACGGGAGCCAGCGGGCAGTGATGTGCGTGTAGGGGCGGAGAACGTGTTGATTTCCGTGCCCTGTAGTTTATCTGCTCGTTTTCATCGCTGAAGGTGTCCAGGACACGTCTCTCAGTCGGCGCCAGCTGCCCTCACGAAATACAGGCTAGATGGCTCAAGCACCAGAAGTTTATTTTCTTACAGTTCCGGAGGCTGGAAGTCCAAGGTCAAGGTTCCTGGCAGTTCATTTCCTTTCCGGCTGGCAGACAGCCACCCACCTGCCGTGTCCTTGGGGCCAGCACTCGGTGCAGGCACACGGGAGAGACCTAGTTTTCTGGTGTCTCTTCATAGAAGGACACTAATGTTATCATCAGGGCCCCACCCTCATCACCTCACTTAATCTTAATTACTTTCTCAGAGGTCCTGTCTCCACAGAGGCACACTGTGGGGTGAGAGCTTCAACATGTGGATGGGGCGGGGACACAAGCATTCAGTCCGTGACAGGGCAAACTTACAGCCTGAAAGGGCCATTTTCAGGAGAAAAATCAACCAAATCGGAGCTGAAGGACTTATTACAGCTAAAGAAGCAGACTCAGGGAGGTCTGGTAACTTAGCAGCATCCCCTCCTAGTACGCTTCCTTCTCAAGCATTCGGGCTGTTTAGAGACTTCAGCTTTCTGAAGACCAAACAGAACTCGAATCTCCTGAACCAGCCCAGACGCTCCACCTTCTCCTCCCTCAGCAACATTACACTCACGTCCAGTTATTATCTTTGGACACTTTTCTAATCCTTTATCGAAAAGTTTTAAGAAAAAAAAATATATGGAAGGCTAACGTGAGGGTGTCTTGTTTTTAATAATTTTTTTTTCTTTACTGATATTAGAGAGAGAGAGAAACATTGATGAGAGCCCTGGCCGGTTTGGCTCAGCGGTTAGAGCGTCGGCCTGTGGTCCGGAGAGACCCGGGTTCGGTTCCCGCTAAGGGCACGTACTTCGGTTGCAGTTTGTCCCCGGCCCTGGTTGGTCGTGCGGGTGGCAGCCACTCGATGTGTCCCTTCACGTCGATGTTTCTCTCTCTCTCTCTCTCTGTTCCTGTCTCTCCCTCCCACTCTGTACAAAAAATGGAAAAATTTCCTCGGGTGAGGATAAAAAAATAAATAAATAAATAAATAAATAAATAAATAAGAAACATCGATGAGAGAGAACATCGATTGGCCACCTCCTTCATGCCCCCCACTGGAGATCAGGCCCACAACCTGGGCATGTGCCCTGACAGGAATTGAACCGGGACCTCTCAGTGCATGGGATGATGCTCAATCCACTGAGCCACACTGGCCAGGCAAAGCATAACCATTTTTTTTTTTATTAATTTGTTTTTGTTACAGATGTTTCTCATTTTTCCCCCATTAACACCCTCCTTCCCTTCCCCCCCACCCCAATGCATGTAAGTTCTGTGGTTTATTTCTTCCCCACAAGCCCCTCCTCCTCTGAGGCTTGTCAGTCTGTACCCCACCTCTATGTCTCTGGGTTAATTTTGTTCAGCAGTTTGTTTAGTTCATTATATTCCACAAATAAGTGAGATCATGTGGTATTTGTCTTTCTCTGCTTGTCTTGTTTCGCGTAGCATAATACTCTCCAGGTCCCTCCATGTCATCTCAAAGGATAAGAGATCTTTCTTTCTTACAGCTGCATAGTGGGAATGCAGACTGGTGTAGCCACTGTGGAAAACGCTATGGTGTTACCTCAAAAAGTTAAAAATTGAACTGCCATTTGACCCAGTGATCCCACTTCTAGGAATATACCCTAAGAAGCCTGAAACACCAATCAGAAAGAATATATGTACCCCCATGTTTGTAGCAGCACTATATACAATAGCTAAGATCTGGAAACAACCCAAGTGTCCATCAGTAGATGAATGGATTAAAAAGCTGTGGTACATGTACACAATGGAATACTATGCAGCATAACCATTATTTTTTTTTTTTTTTTTTTTTTTTTTTTTATCCTCACCTGAGGACATTTTTCCATTTTTTGTTCAGGTAGAGTGGGAGGGAGAGAGAGGAACAGAGAGAGAGAGAGAGAGAGAAACATCGATGTGAAAGGAACACATCGAGTGGCTGCCACCCGCACAACCGACCAGGGCCGGGGACAAACTGCAACCGAGGTACGCGCCCTTAGCGGGAACCGAACCCGGGTCTCTCAGGACCGCAGGCCGACGCTCTAACCACTGAGCCAAACCGGCCAGGGCATAACCATTATTTTTAATGACTACAAAATATTTAATTAAGTGACTGTGCAGCCATTTTTTAAAAACTTTTTCTTTTAACTTTCTAGCTTTTGTAAATTAGGTGGACCATGACCATGATTACAACAAAAATAATAGTATTCTTACTATAAATATCTCACCAATAGACAGTAAGTTTTAGTGTTAAAATATGACCCAGTGCTCTTTGTGAAAAAGGCTGCTTGCTTCCATCACTCTTATGTCGGCTGTATAATATGCAAAGGCTTTGAACTTTCTACAGAGCAGTTTCTTTTTTTTTCTGATCAGGTATGAGTTTTTGCTTTTCCTTTTCCTTAACTATCTCATGACTCTATGCCTGATGAACCTACATAGAAAAAAATATCTCATACTTAAGTAATTTAAGTATAAGCAGGACAAGTGTATTTACACACACAATTATATATAATAATTTGTTCTTTTTTAAATGTTTTTATTGATTTTTTTTAGAGAGAGGAAGAGATAGAAACATTGACATGAGAAAGAAACATCCATCAGGTGCCTCCTGCACGCCCCCTACTGGGGATCGAGCCCACAACCCATGCATGTACCCTGACTGGGAATGGAACTGGGGACCTCTCAGTCCATGGGAGGATGCTCAATCCTCTGAGCCACACCGGCCAGCCTAATCATTTATTCTTTATTCATCTACAATTTCCATGAACATGCTATACCTGGCTTAGTTTATAACAATCCCATAGATAATTTTATTGGTTCTCAACTCTTTGTTAGTCAATGTTTAACTGTGGCCTCCAATTAGTCTTTTAATGTCTTCATCAAAGATGCCCATAAAATAAGTCATGTGAATCATGCTTGCTTTCTACTTTAGTAGCTGGCAAAACTTAAAATGCCCTTCACAAATAGGCATGCTATGCATTGACTGTTTCCTGCTTCAGACATCATCATACCCACTTCCAGGGTGTAAACCCCCTGAATGGAACAGCAGGCAAAAGAGCCCCACCATCTACAATCTTTTTTTCTCTCTCTCCCCTTCAAACCACAGAGAGTATTGTTCAACTACAGTAAAGTTAATTGTATGTATACTATAACTGCATTCTATTTAAAAAATGTTTGGTTAAGTACAACCAAGGGCCCTGGACATTCTATTTAAAATGAACATAAGATTCTAAAGGGCAAAGAGAAGAAGGCAGACCAGCTGGGAACCTGGGGACCTAGGAACAGCATGGTGGTGAGTTTCCTGTATTTTTTGTTTTGGTTTCGCTTCCTGTATTTCAAATTAAGCTGAAGAAGCTGAAAACCAGAAATACCTGTGTGCACAGATTTAAAAAAAAAAAAAAAAGGCTCAGCAAAATCCTACTCCCTCTAACCAAAGGGCCAGGAAAGGGGCAGCATAGCAGAAAACTTTTAGACAATAACTATTCTGCTCTAGCCAAACATGACAAAACAGACAGACAAAAACCGTGGCCCAATACCCGCCCAAGCCAACAAAGCCCAAGTGGGGAACCCAGATTTCTCTTTTGCAGGGCTGTAAGAGAAGATTCCAACACTGCCACCTAGTGGTGTCAGAGAAGGCCAAGCAGGGAGCAGGACTTTTGGCGTCCCTCTCCTGAGATGTCAGTGGAAAATGTTGGGAGCCAGAACTCCCACCCACACCTAGAAGTAACAAGGAACCTCCTCCTGCTCTTTGGTATCAACAGAGGCTGAATGGGGAACCAACACAGTGTCCCCACATCCTTTGCCAGAACAGTGTCAGGAAAAGCCAGCTAACACAGAAGTTCAAATAAGATCCTAAGTCTCATAATATGAAAATGTTGGTTTCAATAAAAAATTATTCTTTCTGCTCCAAACCAGAAGGCTTTAAAACTGAATGAAAAAAAGACAATCAATGGATGCCAACACAGAGTAGAGATACTAAAATTATCTGAGAAAGATTTTAAAGCAACCACAATAAAAATACTTAAGTGAGTATTTATAAACACTCTTGAAACATGAACTAATATAAAATATAAAGTCAACGAAGAAAAAAATACAAAGAACCAAATGGAAATTTTAGAATTGAAAGATGCAATAACCCAAATGAAAAGTTCAGTCGATAGACTCAACAGCAGAATGGAGGCCAAAGAGGAAAGAATCAGTGAACTTGAATACAGAACAATAGAAATTATACAATCTGAACAATAGACTAAAAAATGTATGAAAAGAACCTTAGAACCCTATAGGACTATTTACAATAGAAATTATACAATCTGAACAATAGACTAAAAAATGTATGAAAAGAACCTTAGAACCCTATAGGACTATTTTAAAAGATCTAACATTCATGTCACTGGAATCCTGGAAGGGGAGGAGAAAGAACAGCTTAAAAACTGCTGAAAGAAATAATATCCGAACAATTCCCAAAATGAACATAAATAACATAAACTTACAGATTCAAGAACCTTAAAGAAAACAAACAGAATAAACCTAAAGAAACCCACACTACAACATAATTAAACTTTTGAAAATGAAAAAAAAAAAAAAACCTGTAAGATAAAATCTTGAAAGCAGA